CTGGCCAAGTCCAGTGACAACCATCAGGACTGCTCCAGAAAGGACAGGAATGTGGGAAACACATCCCACACCAGGAACACAGATGTTCACTTTAATGGGATAGGACCTGGTGTTGCAGGATGAGAGAGGAAAGACAATGGAGAAGGAATATTTCTGTTGCTTACTCCAGGAGAAAGAATTTCTGACTTTAAATAAACCTGCAACATTTGTAGCAGAACTAAATTGGTCACCCAGATTGTTAGCACCCCGACACTCAAACCAGGCTGAGCAGAGACAGAACTATACATCACTCATTTCCTACTTCGTCCTACCTGTGAAATAAAGAACTCCAGATCAGCTAAGTGAGAGAACACTAGAGGAGCTGGAGAGGGACTTTGATGAGGGCCTGGAGGGACAGGACACAGGGAATGGCTTCCCACTGCCAGAGGGCAGGGACAGATGGGATATTGGGCAGTAATTCCTCCCTGTGAGGTGCTGAGGCACTGGCACAGGTTGCCCAGAGCAGCTGTGGCTGCTCCATCCCTGGGAGTGTTCCAGGCCAGGTTGGACAGGGCTTGGAGCAACCTGGGCTGGTGGAAGGTGTCCCTGCCCATGGCAGGAGTGGGATGAGATGAGCTTTGAGATCCCTTCCAACCCAAACCATTCCATGAACACTGAATTGCTGCCAAACCCAGCAAAGAGAGTCACAGAGCTGCTTGGAAGTCCATGTGGCATCCCAGGACCTCAGCTGACCAAACTTTCACCTGCAGACCCAGGGAAGTCATGAGCTGTCACAGGTCTGTTGGAGAGCCCAAGTGATGCTGGAGATAAGCAGCACCCAGAGAAGAGCCAAACTAATGCTGCAGGTAGCAGCAGCCTGAGGAGCACCACTGGCCCAGCACGCCCCAACGCTGTTCTTGCATGTGTTTCCAGGAGCTCAGGCTCTCAGCTGCTCAGATATGTGTCAGCACACGCCATGGGCAGTGCCAAGAAATGAGGTCAAGCAGAAAGCAGCACTGACTCACATCGTGCACATGCGGGGCTGCACAGCACTTTGGTCTGAAGCACAGAGTGCCAGCACACCAGGAGCTGCTGCTGACTTCCAAAGCCCTGAGCTGTGTTGGGTTTTTCCAAAACCAAGACAGATTTTGAAACAACAGTGTAGAAAGACCCTCCCTGCAGCAGAAACCTTAAATTGCTCTTAGTAGCAATATGAGCTGAACATGAAGCACATCACAGAATCACAGAACATCCTGAGCTGGAAGGGACCCCCAAGGATCACCAGTCCAACTCCTGTCCCTGCACAGACACCCCAACAATCCACCCTGTGCCTGAGAGCATTGGCCAAACACTCCCTGAGCTCTGTCAGGCTTGGGGCTGTGCCCACTGCCCTGGGAGCTGTTCAGTGCCCAAACACCTCTGGGGGCAGAACCAGTGTCAAGAAGAGCAAACCATTGCCAGAAGTGCTGTCAGGGGTTTCTCATTCACACTTCTACTGCAGCAGCTCAAACTGCCCCTCACACACAGCAGAGCCTGCAAAGTCCCTGAGCAGTTACTCCAGACCTGCCACTTCAGGGACTGCCCGAGGCATTTCAGCAAATCCCACAGAGTGTGAAAAGGGCCAAGTGTAAGCACAATGGGCTGAGGCACTACTGAAACAATGGGAATACCACTCCCTATCGCTCCCAGAGCTAAACCTTCCAGCTAAAACCCTCATCCAACCTCATAACTCATTGCACATACCATTAAACATGCAATCTCTCTCAGCTGCTTCCTGCTCTACTGTGCCTTTTGGATTCACTCACCCCACACAGCACAGAAGGCTCAGAAACACTTCCATCAGTTAGTCTGCACTCCTGAGCTATGGCAGAACTGTCTCTCCTTAGGGATTTTCCCCTCATTTCATTAAAAAAATGCCCGAACAACAAACCTTTTAGCTTTCTATTTACAACTACTACACAAAGAAAACAAAGAGTAAGTTTATCCTTGGGGATTTTCTTGGCTGTAAGAGAAAATCAGAAGACACATGCAATGTCAGACCTGCTGATCTAATTGAGGAGAAGACAAGAGCAGGCCCAGAGAGGGATGGACAATCCATTTGAGAGAACAGCTCCATTTCAAAGGAGACACACAAAGAAAAGAGATAAAAGGGAAAGGGAAAATATGACAAGATAACAAAGCACAACAAAAGACAAGGTTCTTTTCAAGTATAAGGGAAAAAGGTTATAGCACTGGTTATAATTTGAAGGGCTCAGTATTTTTGATCCATTAATGTGGCCCAAGTTAGGAACAAAGCAGGGGAAAATTACTACTGCGAACTTGGAAAGCTGTGGAAAAACAAACCTTGGTTTAAATATGCTTCAGAAGAAAAAGAAACAGAACTCCCAAATGACCAGAAAAGACTTGTTAAGCTGATTCCTTTTTACTTCCTCAGATGCACAGGCAAAGAGACCAAGAAGGGGAATATCCTTCCAAGGACTTGGAACACACATCCAATCTCCTGCCTGCAGCAGCCTGAGCACAAGCTGCAGGAGCATGAGTGAGCAGCAGAGCAGAGCAGAGACAGCTGTGCAGACACAACACCGAGGGGATTCTCAGCGAGGCACCAGCTCACAGGGCAGGCACAGCCTGGGCACGAGCACACACCTCCCTGGGGCAAATCCTGCACCATGGCTGCACAATGCAGACACCTCCTGTGCAGGCAGGGCAGGCAGCAGGGAAGGGTTTGCCCCATGTGGCTGGAACAGCCCTCTCCCTCACACTCTGATGTGGGCAAAGCTCACACAATTTTCTGTGTGTAGGGTCCAAACATCTGAGGTTCTGTGGGAACAATACTGCTCCTAAGTGGCTTCCCGTGGTCCGTTCAGGCTATGTCGTGAGGTATGAGCCTCCCCGTTATAGAGAGGAGCAATTAGGCACAAGTGATCAGGCTGAAGGATGCTAGAGATCTGTGAAACAAAGGGTGTCTGGGGTCACCCCACGCCCTCTGCTTCCCTAGCGCTCCAAAGGCTCCCACAAAGCACTTGAGGGAGAGATGAAAGAGCTGAATATCAGGTTCCCAGAGCTGAGGAAGCTGCTGTCAGATTTCTGTTGAAGCAGATTAACAGCAATGCCACGTGCTGAGGAGCAAAACAGCTCCACTGCACACCCACTCTCCCTGCAGAACTTGCAGCAGCTGACAGTGCCGTGGGCTCCTCTCTGCCTCCACAGAAGGAAGGCTCCATCCAGCACTCCGTGGGACACCCTGCCGTGAGCACACAGCTCACCCAGGGCACGGGGGGATTGGGGGGCTATGTTCAGCTCCCAACACCCCTGCACAGTCCCCGGGGTGATTCTGGACAGGAAATTTCTTCACGAGAAAGAGGACTAATACCTTTGCTAAGGTTTGCTGCGCAACTAAAGGATGACGTTTACAATCCCAGCCCTGAAATCCCAGGGAATTTTATCCTGTTTTGTTGAAAAACTGAAAGCAAATAGAACCAAACCACTTGAAGGCTAAACCCATAAGCCCCAAGCCTTCAGGAATGCTGCTAACAGGCTTACCAAGCATTTGTCTCAGGGCAGCACTCCTGTGCTAGCAGCCAAGGGATTGAGGAGCATCTGGTGGTAGGTTTATCCTGCTAATGGAGACAACAGGAATGTGGAGAGGTATGCATGGAGCAAAGGCCACCCACACCTTCACCACAAGTACTAGTGGCTTGTTCATACACAGGATGCACTGAGAGAACAAAGAACGTGGCCAGGAAAGCTTCACCACCACTAATATCAGTCCCAGACTGGTCAGGGAACTTCTGGCTCTGGTTTAGCTGTTTAACTGATGTGGCAAATCTGGAGGGAGGAACCAAAACGGGGTGAGAGGTGTGAACTTGGGAGGGAGCTTAACTGCCACCAGAGAAACGTTCATTTGTATGATCAGACAGCAAAGGGAACAGCAACACCTTCAGCTGAGGAGCTGCTGCTACCTTTGGGGTCCATCATTCACACTGGGGAGCAAACAAACTGTGTTGGAATAGAAGACTGGAGGCTGGTTTGAGTAAAACAGACGTTAGGGCATTTGTTTCCCAGGAATGTAGAAGAGGCAACATTGTGAAGAGGAACATAAGGTAGGCCCTCACTTTCATTCCTGGGAATGATGCCAACTGCCTGCAAAGACAGCTTTCCATCTTCACTCTTGGTCTCCAACAGACTAAACAAACTGGTGTCCCTGTTCTGCAGGAAGAGACAATGGAGGAAGCAGTAGGTTGAAAGTGGCAAATACCAAGCCTGGAGGTTCCTTGTGGTAGACTGCAATGCCCAAGAGATTACAAAACAAAGCCTTGCAAGATTCCTTCCCTAAGTATCTCAGATAAATCCCAAATGCTCAGGGCTGCCCTTGAAATGCAAACCTTCCAGAAGGGTATTTACTCACACCTAGCTGTGACAAAGTCCAGAATATCACCCATGTCTTTGAAGTCTGCCCAAGGCATGGGCACCACAGCCTTCTGCACCACCACTGCCCTTCAATCACAGAATTGACCTTCAATTCAAGCCCCTGGTGGAACCACAGGGTCTGGAGAGAGGTCTCCCAGCAGTTCAACCACAGAGTGAACAGGGAAGAATTCTCCAGAGATTTCTAGCTTTCAACCAAATCAAAAAGCTCAGTATGATTTAGACTCCTACAATGCTGACTGAGATCACATCTAGAGAGATTCTGAACTGAGTGGCATTTGGTGGCAAGAGGCAAAGGAGGTGTCTGGCCACAAACTGCCCCTGCCTGCCTGAATGGCACAGCTCTTCCTGTGACAGAGCAGTTACACAGGGTTAGGTTTCGTTGGGTTATTTTTCCCTTTTAATGGCTAAACTGCCCCTCAAAATACTGAGATACTGATTCTTATTTTTCAGGGGCAAATAGAGGACAAAAGACGAGCTTAGCCCTGGTTCCTCAGTGACCCCAAGAGGCTGTTGCAGCCAGTGTCCCACCTCCCTGGCCCACATCTGCAGCCCTCAGCCCCTGGAGCAGGGAAGCCCTGACTGCTACTTACTGCCATGACGAGCTCAAAGGGGTATTTGTAGACTCGCACTGGGGACTGGTATTTCTGCACCATTTTTCCTACACACCTGGAACAGAGAGAAATTGGGAAATTTTAGATCCCCCACAACAAACAGCACAACACGTTCTAAGCAATTTTTACAGACCTTACTGGAAGCCTTAACTGTTCCTCACAGAGAGAAGGACATATATTAGGTGGAACAACTGCTTAGGAAGTGGCAGAGACAAGGGGCAAGTCCCTGCAGCCCCAGCCCAGCTGTGCCCAGCACACAGCAGCATCCTGTGCTGCTTCCCAGTACTGCTGCAGTAAATTCTGCTCAGACCTCCAACAAAACTCACAATACTTAAAGCACAAACCAGATGCAAAGCCACAATCAATCATACTCTGGAGAAGGAGCTTGTCTGAGCAGCCTTACAAAGCTTACATGGCCATTCTTCCCCCATTCCCTTTTCCTACACTACATTTGCAATCATTAGGCAAAATCCTCCTGGCTGGAAGCTTCCACAGCTTCCCATATCTCAGCATTTTAAGTGCTTTTGTGCACAAAGTAGCATTTAGTTGTTAACTCCCTGACAGAAGAAAAAGAAGCAGCACGCTGAGAGAACGTGCCTGATGCTAAGCTGGCAATCACATCCCACTGCCAGGGTGCCCACCCCTCCAGCTGAACCCAGGCAGGAGCTGCAGGCAGCAGCAGCAGCTCCATCCCTAGCACTGTGCTGCTCCCAGCCACCTCTCACTGTTCTCATCAGGATTCCTCCCTCACACTCTCCTGCCAGGGTTCTAACCCCCAAACATGCATCACAACCAGCGTCACAAGGTAGCACACACACCATTAAAAAAAGGCTTTCAGACTGTTTTCTGCATTGCTCCTGCTCACCCCCTCTGTGAGCATCAGGAACACAAAGGGCTGGAAGGCTGTGCTGATTGCACCCTGCTCAGCAGGCACAGCACCCAACTCCACAGCATGACAACCTGTCCCTGACATCTGAAGCCCAAAAAAGGAGGTGAAACATGAATTCAAATGCAAACAGCAACAGATTCTGCCTCCAAAACTGCCCAAATGCATTGCACAGTAAAAATTCAGCAAGGGAGAAGGGAAAAGGGCTTGGAAAAGTTGTAGTGCCTGAGAACAGGGAATGTTTGTAGGAAAAGGGTTGTGCAATCAGTTGCTCGGCAGAGGCTCATGTTACCCAAGGAGCAAAGCTCAGGGGTTGCTGGATCTTTAGGAATCTGGCTGGTTCTGAGAGTCAGTCCACGTGAGCCAGTCAGCACGGACAGAACACGTCCCAGAGCATCCAGCCCCGACAGCAGTGAGCAGAGCAGGGCCAGGCACTGCCCAGGAAGCCCAGGCTGCTGTCAGACACCTGATCCCAGAGCCACGGGACTTGCAACCAAGGCTGGAACATGACTAGCCCACCAGATACCTAGGCTGGGCAGGAACATTCCCAGAGAGCACAGACAGAGCAGGACAACCCTCATCCAAGGGACTGAGGATCCAGGGAAGCTGCAGAGGGTCTCTTGGTTAGGAACTGCAGGGACAGGACAAGGAGCAATGGGGAGAAATTGGGAGAGGGAAATTTAGCTTAGATCTTAAGCAGAAGATTTTTGCTGTGAGGATGGTGAGACACTGGCACAGGTTGCCCAGGGAGGCTGTGGCTGCCCCAACCCTGGCAGTGTTCACAGCCAGGTTGGATGAGCCTTGAGCAACCTGCTCTGGTGGGAAGTGTCCCTGCCCAGGGCAGGGGTTGGGGTTGGATTGATCTCCAAGGTCCATTCCTGCCCCTTAACATATTATGAGATTTAGCTGAGATCTTGCTTCCCTTTCTGACTTTGCATGCTGCACCAGGAGTTCCTGCACCCCTGCAGGAGAGGATCAGGGACTTCCACAACAAGGAGTCTCAGGACAGACCAGTCAGTCTAGAATCACCCACAGCCAGAAACGAAGTTACCAGGCACAGAACAATGGGATGGCACAAGTTGTAGTTCTACAGCCTTAACTGTGCTGGTCCCTGGCAGCTGCCACACCTGAGTGCCACATGTGGACCACCCTGTACTTCTCCCAGTGCAGGAAGGCTGAGAAATAGAGTCAGTGACTATTACATCCATGGGAAGCTGTGGAAGAAAGACAATAACTGATAACTCACACCTGCCCTAGAAACCTTTCTTACCTGGGGAGAGTGCAGTGACAGCAGAGCTTCTATGCCCTCTCCTCAAAACAGAGCTGTGAGACAGTCATTCTGCTCCTCAGAGCACGAGGGATTCCAGCTAGAACGCCTGAAGAAAACAAGAGCAATCCATCAGAAAAGGCAGAGAAAGGTGGTACTGGGCACACACAGCTACAGGTGATGATTAGCACTGGCAGAGACAATGACTTTCAGGTGTTTCCACTTTCCACTGGGCAGCTGAAGACCTGCATCCTCCCAGGTCTTTAGCACTAGTGTTTTTAAAGGCATCTCACATGTTCCGCTCCAATTAGAAGCAGATATGCTCAGCGATCAAAATGAAATCCAGAAACTACACAAGCACAGCGTATGTCTGCTCCTGAAACACCCATCCTGCCTCCCCAGCTCCACAGGGCCCAGGATCCCTGCCCTGGCTGACAGAACACAGGAGGGGACACAGCTCAGGCGAAGAGCAGTGACCACTGAACTGCAGCTCGACCCCCACAGAAACCCCAACCCGCAGCTGGAGGCACACCTGGAGCACCCACAGGGTGACACCAGGGAAGAGCTCAATCCCAGCTGGCCAAGCCCAGAGCAATAGGTAAAAAATCAGAGGTTAGAGCTGTCAATGCACTGAAGCAACAGATCTAGCTAGGACTAACCACCCCAGTAATGACCACCCTGACCATCCCAGTTGGCTATGAGACACACTGCAGCCCTTGCACACCTGAGCGCAGGAAGCAGCAGCAGCCACCA